ATATATATATATATATATTGTATTTACTTGATATAGAAATTAAAATTCCGTCTAAAAATTTTAAAATTACTAAATTTTGTAATCTATTTTGAAATTATCAAAAAATTTTGCCAAAATAATTAATCAATTTATTGTGTATAGTTGACAAAATTAATAAATTTAATTTTGGAGTTGGAGATTTTATTTTATGTATCTAATGACCATTTTTATTTTTGGTATGAAATGTGTTGTTATTAATAAATGTCCAATTTTGTGGTATAAAGTGGGAGATTTCATTTTGGTACGAAAGGTTCGAATTTTAATGGTATGAAGTTATATAGTATGGATAGAAGTGTATTTGAAAATTTTGAAAACAAAATAAGTGGTATAAATTTTATTCGGTATGAGTATGGAAGTCGAATTTTAAGTTGATTTTTTATAAAATCAAGGTAATATGGTTCTCGAATTTTAGTATATTCTTATAATAACTTGTCATAATATATTAATTATAATTCGACAAATTGATATGTATTACTCTTGGAAATCAAAAAGATCATTGAACAAATATATGTTAATAAAATTTAAAATGTATAGAAAGATCTTTAAACAAATATTTGTTAATAAAATTTAAAATGTATAATTTAATTCTTGAGAATTTTTTGATAAATTTGAACGATAAGGTAATCGACGACAAATCTTGAAAATTTTTAGATAATTTATATATGGTTGGGTTCTAGTGAAAATGATGCTCAATGAAAGAAAAATAAGAATGTATCTTAGCCATTAATATCTTGGCCATTAAATTTGACCATCCGACGGTTAAAAAAATGCCAAAAATTTTAAATTATCTAATGCGGCCTATAGGTTGAGATACTAGACGGAACAACCTTATTGTATCCGTGGAATACCATGTTTCTGAAAATAAATATTATCATCAAAGTCTAGCCGAATGATTGTATTCTAGTTAATATATATGTATATATATATATATATATTGTATTTACTTGATATAGAAATTAAAATTCCGTCTAAAAATTTTAAAATTACTAAATTTTGTAATCTATTGTGAAATTATCAAAAAAAATTTGCCAGAATAATTAATCAATTTATTGTGTATAGTTGACAAAATTAATAAATTCGATTTTGGTATAAAAGTTGGAGATTTTATTTTAGGTATCTGATAACCATTTTTATTTTTGGTATGAAATATGTTGTTATTAATAAATGTCTAATTTTGTGGTATAAAGTGGGGGATTTTATTTTGGTACGAAAGGTTCGAATTTTAATGGTATGAAGTTATGAAGTATGGATAGAAGTGTATTTGAAAATTTTGAAAACAAAATAAGTGGTATAAATTTTATTCGGTATGAGTATGGAAGTCGAATTTTAAGTTAATTTTTTATAAAATCAAGGTAATATGGTTCTGAAATTTTAGTATATTCTTATAATAACTTGTCATAATATATTAATTATAATTCGACAAATTGATATGTATTACTCTTGGAAATCAAAAAGATCTTTGAACAAATATATGTTAATAAAATTTAAAATGTATAGAAAGATCTTTAAACAAATATTTGTTAATAAAATTTAAAATGTATAATTTACTTCTTGAGAGTTTTTTGATAAATTTGAACGATAAGGTAACTGACGACAAATCTTGAAAATTTTGACATAATTTATATATGGTTGGGTTCTAGTGAAAATGATGCTCAATGAAAGAAAAATAAGAATGTATATTAGCCATTAATATCTTGGCCATTAAATTTGACCATCGGTTAAAAAAATGCCAAAAAATTTAAATTATCTAATGCGGCCTATAGGTTGAGATACTAGACGGAACAACCTTATTGTATCCGTGGAATACCATGTTTCTGAAAAAAATATTAATAATAAAGTGTAGCCGAATGATTGTATTCTAGTTAAAAAATATAAATCAAGACCCCCAACCTGTGCATAGAACGACCCTAAAAAGGGCTAAAAGTCAAAGTCTACAAGTCCAATGTTCACGATACATCATGACAAATGAAAACAGAGAAAGCATAAATGAAAAACATGTACAGCGACATCGAAGCCACAAAGGAGTGCCAGAGTCTGGTCAGAGAGGATACCAAGTGAAGAGTCAGCACCAAAGAAGGCCAGGTGTATCAAAAAGTGGAGACGACTACCCAAATCTGAAAGAGGGGTACCCGAACTGGTCCATCCGTATAAGAGTGCAGAGGCGAAGAGGAATATCATCAAGATGAAGGTGAGTCTGACAACGAATCGACTGAAGAGTGGCCAGCGAGAAAGTCAGCAGGGTGATTCCTTTTTCGAAAGATGTGCGAAATCTGACAACGAATCGACTGAAGAGTGGCCATATTACACATGTGAGGATGTGGATCTGCAACGAGCCCTGGGAGCCACAGGTCAATAGGGTGATGACAGCGACAACGTCCAACTACGGAGTAGTACTAGTTACTTTTAATACATTGTTGGCTTCTAATGTCCATTTTTTCCCGTATATTTTTTTACTCCAATTTTACTAAATAAATCACTTAGCAGGGAATTATTTTGCAAGTGTTAGCTATTTGAGAACTACCTAAGTGAGGTTATATATAAGTTGCTTTTAGTTAATCTGAATTTAAAGTTATGAATGGAAATTAAAAATTTTCAGAAAAATATTATCTATTTTATTACACTTTTTTCCCTACAATACTAACACAATTTTTTTTTTTTTTAAAAAAAAATTGTTATTATATACTTTTCAATAAAAGCCCTCTCCGCCGCTCCGTCAAATTGTCGTCGATTTGCCTTCCTTGGTGACGGGGAGGCTTGGCCTGCGGTCGCCCCTAATGGCTCACCCCGTGCTAGACATCGTGCACCCCGAAATTGCTGCGGCTTGGCGCGATCTTGCTCTAAATTGACGGCGGAACGGAGTTCCGAGGTGTCGTCCTCTTAGTCGGATTCTGGTCTGTGATGGGTGGCTTCGCTTCCCGATCGCTGGCGGACCTTCGATGGCTGACGATAAGCTCTCTCTCTCTCTCTCTCTCTCT